GCTGTTCCACGACATTACACACACAAGAGGGACACCTGCCCCCCTGCAGTGGCAGGAGAGGGTTGCGGTTGGAAAGGACCTGGAGGTGTCAGCCTCTAACTCTAAGCCCAGAGCTCAGGATGGGTCAGAATCGGAGAGGTGAAAGCCAGTGTGGAAGAGAACGTCCGAGGCAGAGGCAACAGCAGGTGTACAGGGACAGGGGCAGGTGTGTTGGGACGGCTGGACAGGGCCTGTTGGGGTCAGGGCAGGGGGAGGGGAGGTTGGAGGGGTCCTCCAGGGCCCTATAACCTAAGGGCTGTTCTCCACTCTTAAGGAATTTGCTCTTTATCCTGAGGGATAAAGATAAGCATTTTTTTGTTGTTGTTTTTCTTTTGAGACAGCATCTCTCTCTGTCACCCAGGCTGGAGTGCGGTGGTGTGATCATAACTCACTGCAGCCTCAAACTCCTGGGCTCAAGCAGTCCTCCAGCCTCAGCCTCCTGAGTAGCTATAGTGGCACGAGCCACCATACCCAGCTAATTTTTAAACATTTTTTTGTAGAGGCAGGGTCTCGCTGCATTGCCCATGCTGGTCTCGAACTCCTAGCCTCAAGCGATCCTCCCACCTTGGCCTCCGACTGCACCCAAAATAAGGGCTTAATCAGGGGCTCGACATTGTTTTAACAGCCCCTCATTAAGAGAGAGAATTCTTACACTGTACGATAAACCCATTTGAGTGTAGAAGTCACTGGTTTTAGTATATCCTCAGAGTTGCGTAACTATCACCACAATTAATTTCAGAGCATTTCCATCACCCCAGAAGGAAGCCTACACCCATTAGCAGTCAGTCCCCGTTTCCCCCTGAGCCTCTCTGTCCCTGGCAGCTTCCAATCTGCTTTCTGTCTCTGTGGATTTGCCTATTCTGGACACTTCAGGATTCATAGTACGTGGCCTTTTGTGACTGGCTTCTTTTACTTAAGATGATGTCTTGAAGATTCGTTCATGTTGTAGCATGTGGCAGTACTTAAGTCCTTTTCGTGGCTGAATAATGCTCCGTTCTGTGTATCAGCCACGTTTTGTTTATCCATTGGTCCATCGGTGGACATTTGGGTTGTTTCTTATTTTTAGCTATTAGGATTACCGTTGCTATGTACATTCCTGTGCAAGTTTTTATGGGGAAATATGTTTTCACTTCTCTTGAGTGTATGCCTAAGGAGTAGACTTGCTGGGTCATATGGTGAGTCTGTGTTTAACCTTTTGAGGAACCGCCAGACTGTTTCTCCAGGTGGCTGCGCCATTTTACGTCCCATCAGGGGCATATGAAGCTTTCAGTTTCTCCAAATCCTCCTTAACGCGTGTTATTTCCTGTCTTTTTTGACTGTGGCCGTCCTGGTGGGTGTGAAGTGGTATCTCCTTGTGGTTTTGATTTGCGTTTCCCTGATGAGTAATGAAT